GACCCCATATTAGGTCCCAGTGGGCCATTTCATATCTAGACCAGTTAAGATGAGGTCAGAGATTATGCTACCTTGGACTAAATCTGTTTCTCTATTGTTACATAACAATTAAACTTGCAGATTCAAAAACAAATATTTAGTTAGTTCTTATATGGCTTATTTGGCCTGATGGAACCAGAGTTAAATAAGCTAATTTCCCAGGCTACCAGATAGTTTCTCTAGATCTTATCAGGCCACACAGCAATGAAGGAGTTCTTATTTCATGACCGTGTGCAAAACAACGATCAAAAGCTGTCTAAACTCAACATTTAATATTTCATAGATTATTCAAACAAAGAAGTAGACTTTGATAGCCTATTCCAGAAGTTACCCATATATGTATATATTAACTTTAGATAATATAATGTATATATGTTAATATATGTATATGTATATATATTAATATATATGTATATATATGTTAATCTATGTATATATTAATGGGTCAGATAAAAACAATTTAGAGGGGGAAAAAATCCCCAAATCTCTCAGCACTTTTTCCATTAAAAAAGACTTCATTAGTGAGCTTCAACAGGCATGGCTGAGGTTGAAGAAATTGCACACTCATGACTGAATAGGTCATTGATGGGTTCCTATGGTTCCCAGTAAAGGATGCTTGGTGTGCTCGTGGCCACATGGATATGCATAATAATAACATGTATGAAGTCCTTACTAGTAACTAAAGACAGCCCTAAATTCTTTTCATGTGTTATTTCATGTTATTTCATGTTGACCCCCACAACGCAATGAGATAGAGGTTATAATTACCTGCCTTTTACAGAAAAGATGTTAAGGAATTTACCCAAAGTCTCACAGCTGTTACATGGCGGAGCTGGTATTTGAACCCAGGTAGTCAGATCACAGAGCCTGCTCTCAGGTCTGTGTCACATGACTCTCCATTGGCCTCCTTCAGCTTCACCATACGGGGAGAGTGGTGACTGTCTGGACCAAGGGTGGCCAACCTGTAGCTTGGCCAGTAGTCAGTGAGGTGGCCTGGTAGAAATAGTTGTGCCAAAATTGGACCAGGGTTTTGACAAGGACAATCGGGTTTTCTATCGTGAATATGTACTGAGAAACACAGAGGGAAGGGGCAGACACCAACACTCACACGGTGAGAACTCGGGGAAACTGAGGCTGTAAGATCATAGAGGTCTAGAGAAGTTGAGAATGAACCAAAGCAATGATGAGCCAAAAGAGTTAGCAAGCAGAGGTGTAAGTTAAGGAAAAGACAGAGTAGAGAAAAAAGTGGACGGTCACAGGAGCAGAGGGTATGAGGTGACAGAGAGGGTCAATGACTTCTAACAGCCAAGAAGGCAAGTTTATGCCTTCTTGAAGGCAAGTTCAAGACCGTCTCCAGGTTCATGCCCCTATTCCCTGACAGCCAGGAGACACTCCACAAATGCTGGCTTGTGAGTAGAAGGAAGAGACTCACAGGAGGACGCTGGATCTGCTAAAGGCAGCACATGCATTGTGAGGGCAATTCGAGAACACTTGTTGCCGAGGAGCTGATGAGATGCTTGGCCACTGGAGCTGAATGACTTTCAGGGGAGTTTCCCTTTCCTCTGTGGCTCTTTTCTTAGACTCCCTTCTCCTTTACTGTCAAGAGTACCATTTCACTACAATCCCACCTCCATTTCTGGAGGTTGCTCAAAGCTACCTTTTTTTTTTTTTGGTAAGAACGACTCAGTGGTGAAGAATAATTTATGTGAAAAATGAAACTATTTCTGTATATCCCCTTCAAATATTTTCTCTCTTATTATGAATAGAAATAAGAACATTTAGTTCCACCCGAGAGTGATAGCCTTTTAAAATCAAAGCATGTGAAGGTAAGGTTCAGCTACATTTTTAGTATTATAAGTGTTACAAATTTCAAATTACTTTTCAATGGTCAAAAATGTTATATTTTCTTCCCCTTGTAAAAATCCAAGGTTGATCATGCATGTGCATGAATAATCTAGATAATGATTTTCCATTTCTCAGAATAATTTACAAACTCTGCCTCACATATTCTCTTCCACTGTCAATTATGTGTGTCAGGAATGGAGCTCAAGGTCAGTTTTACAGAAAGGTTTATAACTGCCAATTTGTTCCCTGGCACCCAGTCTTGAAAGTGAATTTAATGGATTGGCTAAGTGCCACATGGGGCATGCTTCATGGAGAAAATATAATATTTCAATGCAGTATTCCTGATTTCTCATCCTAGTTTTGCCACCTTTCTGACTGTAATCTCAAGCAAATCACCTAACTCTTTTTTTTTTTTTTTTTGAGACAGAGTCTCGCTTTGTTGCCCAGGCTAGAGTGAGTGCCTTGGCGTCAGCCTAGCTCACAGCAACCTCAGACTCCTGGGCTCAAGCAATTCTCCTGCCTCAGCCTCCCGAGTAGCTGGGAATACAGGCATGCGCCACCATGCCCGGCTAATTTTTTCTATACATATTAGTTGGCCAATTAATTTCTTTCTATTTATAGTAGAGACGAGGTCTTGCTCTTGCTCAGGCTGGTTTCGAACTCCTGACCTCGAGCAATCCGCCCGCCTCGGCCTCCCAGAGTGCTAGGATTACAGGCATGAGCCACCGCGCCCGGCCTACCTAACTCTTCTGAGTGTTAGTTTCCTCATCTATAAACTAGAGGATGTAAGAATAAATTTAGTAATAAGTATTTAACAGGATTTTTGTGAGCTTTTTATTTATTTATTTTTATTTCAAAAAATTAAGGGTGTACAAATGTTTTTGTCTATGGTTACCTTGCATAATGCTTAATCAGGGATTTGGGTATGCCTGTTACCAGAGTAGTGTTCAAGGTACCCAATAGGCAAGTTTTTTTATTCCTCATCTCCCCCTCCATCCCCTCTTCTTGGTTTCCAATATCCTTTATATCTCTTTGTGCCCATGTGTACCCATCATGTAGCTCCCACTTATTAGTGAGAACATGTAGTGTCTGGTTTTCTATTTTTGATATACTACAATTAGGGTAATGGTCTCTAGTTCCATCCAAGTTGCCGCAAAAGACATTGTTTCATTCCTTTTTATGAATGAGTAATACTCTATGTCATGTATATTACCACATTTTCTTTATCCACTCATGAATTGATGAGCACTTAGGTAGATTCCATGTCTTTGCAATGGTGAATTGTGCTGCAATAAACATTCGAGTGCAGGTATCTTTTTTTATAAAGTGGCTTCTCTTCCTTTGGGTAGATATCCAGCGTTGGTATTGCTGGATTGAATGATAGGTCTACATTTATTTCTTTGAGGAATCTCCATACTGTTTTCCATAGCGGTTGTACTAATTTGCAGTCCCACCAACAGTGTATAAGCATTTCTTTCTTTATGCATGCATGCCAAAAAAACAATAGATTCTCTCCAGCATCTGCTTTTTGACTTTATAATAATGACCATTCTGATGGGGGTAAGGTAGCATATCACTGTAGTTTTAATTGCATTCCCCTGATGATTAGTGATGTTGAGCATTTTTTCATATGTTTGTTGGCCATTTGTCTATATTCTTTTTAAAAACTTCTGTTCATGTCTTTGGCCCACTCTTTAATGTTTTTATTTTTATTTTTTCTTATTGATTTGTTTGTGTTCTTTATAAATTATGGATATTAGTCCCTTGTCAGATGTATAGTTTTATGAATATTTTCTCCAATTCTGTAGGTTGTCTATTCACCCTGTTGATTATTTCCTATGATGTGCAGAAGTTTTTAAATTCAAGTCCCATTTATTTATTTTTATAGTTGCTGTTATTTGCCTTTGCGGTCTTAATCATAAATTCTTTCCCTAGGCCAATGTCTAGAAGAATTTTTCCTACATTTTCTTCTAGAAATTTTGTGGTTTCATATATTATATTTAAGTATTTTGTCCATGCTGAATTAATTTTTGCCCATGGCAAGATATAGGGGTCTTGTTTCATACTTCCGGATGTGGCTGTCCAATTTTCCCAGCACCATTTATTGAACAGGGCTTTCTTTTCTAAGTGTATGTTGTCCACTTTGTTGAAGATTAGTCAGTGGTAACTATATGGTTTTATTTCTGGGTTCTCTATTCTATTCCATTGGCCTATATTTCTACTTTTAAACAAGCACCAGTTTTGGTTACTGTTGCCTTGTAGTGCCATTTGAAGTCAGGTTATGCCTCCAGATTTATTCTTTTGGCTTGAGATTGCTTTGGCTATTCAGGTTCTTTTTTGGTTCCTAATGAAGCTTAGAATTAAATTTTCTAGATCTGTGAAATATGACATTGGTATTTTGATGAGGATTGCATTGAATCTGTAAACACTTTGGGCAGTATGGACATTTTAATGATGTTGATTCTGCCAATCCATGAGTGAGGGGTGTTTTTCCACTTATTTGTGTCATGTACAATTTCTTTCATCAGTGTTTTGTAGTTTTCCTTTTAGAGATCTTTCACCTCCTTGGTTAAATATATTTCTAGGTACTTTTTCTTTGTAGCTGTTGTGAATGGTATTGAGTGCTTGATTTGACTCTCAACTTGACTGTTATCAGTATATAGAAATGCTACTGATTTGTGTACAGTGATTTTGTAACCCGAGACTTTGCTGAATTTATTAATTAATTCTAGGAGTCTTTTGGTGGAATTTTTTTAGGATTTTCTAGATAAAAGATCCTATCACCAGCAAACAGAGATAGTTTAACCTACTCTTTTGTGATTTGGATGCTCTTTATTTCTTTCTCTAGTCTGATTGCTCTGGCTAGGACTTCCGGTGTTGTGTTGAATAGATGTTGTCTTGTTCCAGTCCTTAGGGAGAAGACTTCAAGGTCACAATCTGAGTCAGAGGCCGGGGACATCATTCTCTGGCCCAGACCACTAAGTTTGGTCTGACTCAGATTTTGGCGGACACTTGATGTCTGATCAGACCTTCAACAAGTCATCTGAGTTGGGGACACCCTCTCAGACTTCTGGCAGCAGGTGACCCTCCCTAAAACATCCTTTACTTTCTCCTAGTTGTCATCACGGGCAACATTCAATCGGCTCCACCTAAGGACTCCTCACTGGGCTGTCTCCTTAAGAATTTGAGAACTTTGGAACTCACTGACCTCTGTCCGACCTAAATGCTTAGTCTTCTATTGCAGTACAGCCTGGCCACAAGGTAAGTTAGGTGAGCAGGAGGTCTGGCCTGAGATTGGCTCTCTAAATCATAACACCATCCTGCAACTTGATCTCTATTGCCACCAAGAAGAAAGGAGTAGATGCAGCAGTTTCTCGACTCTACCCTGCCATTTTTACAACCCCCTTTAAAAAGCCCCACTAGCTGGTTTTGAGGACCAGCACATTCTTCCTTTTTCCACCTCCATGCTGGTCCTTTTCCCCCTCCACAGGGAAAAGTAAATAATCCTTTTCTTTCTATCCTAATCTCTGTCTGGAGAAATATTTCTCAAAATCTACGTGCACTGGCATCTTTACCCAACAGCAGATACTACTACTAAAGAGACTGACCAAATGTATGAAATAATTGTTTACTTTACCTGTTGGTTGCGTAGGAATTGAGTTTGTCAGCAAGTATATATAATTTACAAGCTAGTACAGTATAAAATAGTTGAAAATTGGTACCTGAGAATATATAAATATAAAAAGGCAAAGCCAGGTCAAAAGCTAGAATAAATATTTAGACTAGAGAGTCCTATGAGGTTAATAAAATTGAGCTGTAAATGTGATTCTATGCTTGCCAGGGGCCAAAACAAAAATGAAAATATGATCAGTTATGTGATGGTCATTGACCAGAGGGGGAAAATCACTCCAGTCTTCTGGGGAAAGAAAGCTTTTCATGGTACTTTTTTTTTTTTTTTTCTGAAAGAAATTTTTATGAAGGGACAGCACGTATTTTCTCCATGGTTCCTTGAGCAGCTTGGCAGCCGTCCAAAACCTGCGGCATAAGAAGGTCAGCGATTCAAAGATTCTGTTTCCAGATTCTTCCCCTCTGCTAAATTTCTGTTTCATTGCAATTAAAAAACAAGCTTAGAGTGTGGTTTTTCCAAGAGCTGGGATGGTGGTATTGGGAGACTGTCCAAATCTGCCAGGCCCTAAACCAGGGCCATGACAATATCCTGACAGACCCTGCTCTGGCACACCTGGAGTGAGTCGCCCCATCTCCCGAGGCTCAGTTTCTCTCTGTCTGTAGGGGACCACTGACACCTTGCTCAAAGGGTAGCTGAGAAGATGAGTGAGATAACACCTGCAGCTGTGCCTGGCAGGGCCTATGTTCCATTAATGGTTTTCTCTTACACATTTCTTCCTCCCGCTTAGAATCGACAGAAAGATCAATGGAGAGATTATGTGTGCAATAGGCCTCTCATCCACCAGGGTTTTACTTTCTACCGTTTCAATTACCTGCAATCAACCGTGGCCCGAAAATAAGTCAGTATAAAAAAAGACCATAGTCACATAACTTTTATTAGAGGATATTATTATAATTGTTCTATTTTATTATTGGCTATTGTTTTTAATCTCTTACTGTGCCTAACTTTTAAGTTAAATTTTTCATAAGTACATATGGGAGAAAACATGGTGTATACAGAGTTCTGTACTATTCATGGTATCAGGCATCCATTGGAGGTCTTGGAAGGTATCCCTGTGGACAAGGGGGAGACTACTGTGTTTGCAAAACTTTTGTAGATGTGCCAGCATATGTGTATTCTAGAGGCCCAATCTATTCGTTTAAGAAACAAAAGGGGAAGAAAGAATTGAATGTATTTCTATTTACCACTAATTTCCTCCCCTGAATTCTATTTTTATATATTTTTATTTATTTTTACCTAAAGCAAGAAAACAAGGAATGGCCTTGTTTTACCTAATATATGTGTGCATATAAAATTTAGACATATATGTGTATGTCATTTTAAAAATCCCCATTTTTGCAAATTAATAAGGCATTGCATCAGTGATTCTTGCAGGCGAAAACCAAATAGCAAGTTATGGAATTCATGGTCAAGAGCCAGGAAGGACTTCTTAGTTGAGCTTATGTTGGGATTTCCCACCTTCACTGCCTTTATGCTGAGAGACTGGGCTCCCACCTAGTTGAACCTGCTCACAGCTGGAGATTTCTCTTTCTATAAAATTCTCAGAATGTTTACTCGGTCTCTTGCGTCAAATGTCTGAATTTTAAAAAGTGATATAACTCCACTTAGATGATGAAGTCTATGATCCCTGAGTAAATTCTTCCTGCCTTTCTAATTCACTCAGTCCAGATTTGTTCATCTGAGAAGGTCCTGAGAAATGTGTGCCTTCTTTGGGAGACACCTTAGATATGGTGGTTTCTGTGACAAAAAATCTTGGGAGGGACAAAGTGTATTGGCCCAGTGGTTACCAGCACTGTCAACAGAGGGGATGATTATTTGTACAGTAATTTCCTCTCTATATTTTTTCTCCTGAAAGAAAATATCCTGTTAGCCCACCAAATCTAAAATTGGATACTCTGTATGTGTCTTATTATGGTTTTGTGGACAAAGGAACTAAAAACAATGGTAGCTTAAAAATAAAGTGGCTTTGTTTCCTCTGGCAGTGTCAGAAATGTAGACTCTTTCCCCAGTAGAAAAGGGTACTAATTGTGTGGTTGTGACAGACTAGCAGAAATGTGTCTAGTGCTGAGCATTATAATTGGTAAGGGTGGAGTGGGTTTATACACAGAAATCCAGGGTGTTTACCTCTGTTAAAAATACTTAGATTTAGTAGTCTGTGAATACTAAGTTAGAAAGGTTTTAATGACCAATATCCATCCAGAAGTGATATTGGCGTGGGGAGAAGGACACTCTGTTTTGAACATGTGGCACTTCACTGGGTTCAGCAAATTTCTGTCTTTAAGCATTCTAGATTGGAACGATAACCCCAAAGGTGGCCACTGAAGGCAGTCCTTTGTGGCCTGTGAAGTTCTGGGACTTTTGCACTGGGGACTGGCAAACCAACAATTCGAGCACTGTGACACTAACATAGCATTTACTACATTGCCTACATAGTATTGATATCATGAGTAATAAAATGAAGATGAATATGTTGTCTTCCCCTCATTGAATACTTACAATGTTAGTTATGACTCAAAGTACTTCAGCCATGTTATCTCATTGAACCCTCTGAGTTGATAATATTATCATTCCCATTTTACAGAAAAGAAACTGAGCTCCAGAGAGGTTGAAGGAGAGCTGGGATGTATCATGGAGCACACAGCCAATTCCAGGGATCTCTGGCTATGGAATCTTTCTTTTAAATATATCGTTCCTCAGATATCTAGTTGATAGTCACTCAATTCATAGCTGTCCTGAAGGATGAAGGCTGTTATCCTATCTCTCCAGTTTATTTCCTATGTGTCCTTGGGCATGTTATTTATTCTTTGGCCTTGGTTTCCTTATTAGTCAAATTGTACTAGAGAATGGCCTGGAAAAAAAAAAAAGATTTTCTGTCTCTTTAAAACTTCCCCCACTATTTTTGGGAACAGCAGCCTGGCCTGCACCCCTGAGGCAGGTTAAGCCTTTTGTTAAAACTCCCAGGTGGCCCCAGCCACCCCAGGTGGCTGGCTGGTGGAGTTCATAGGCTTTGTCTTTGGCTGAGATGGGTTAATTAGAATAGTTAATCACAGTAATTGCCTGAAGCTGAGAACCCTCCCTTTAAAAGCTCTGTATTTCTGCCTAGATTCAGGAAATTTGGGATTTTGAGATGAGAAGGTCTACTATTTTTCCACCTTTGCAAAGTAAACTCTATTTACTTCCTCCCCAAACTGCTTGTTCTTGTACTTCTGATTCAGCCTCATAGACAAGTGGTCTAGTTTTTGTTGACAAAATGTAGAGAGTTTAACTATTAACATATGGTTTTTAAGATTCCCCTAATCATCGTATTAGTGAGTCTATAGTTAATATGAATTATTTGGGTAGCCTGGATCATTTGAGAACAGCAGTGGCTGTTGTGATCTATTTTATAGCTCAACATTTTAGAAAGGTGAGTTGCTTCACAATAATGCAGGGCATGGAAATGTGGTAGAACATACCCTAGATGAGTCATCTGGTGACTTTCTGGAAGAAGGTCAGAAGATTTGGGTTGTCTTAGTCTGTTTGGGCATTTATAACAAAATACCATAGACTGGCTGCTTATAAACAGCAGAACTGTATGTCTTATAGTTCTGGAAGCTGGGAAAACCAAGATTAGGTCACGGACAGATTTGAGGTCTGGTGAGGGCCCATTTCCTGGTTCACAAATGGCACAAACGGCACATTGTCACTGTGCCCACACCTGGTGGAAGGGGAGAACTCTGATCTCCTACTCTGGTCTCTTCAGCCTCTTGTAAGGACAGTAATCCCATTCATGAAGGCTCCTAATACCATCACATTGGGGATTAGGTTTCAACACAGGAGTTTTTGAGGGACACAAGCATTCACATCATAGCAGGTTTGACCACATATAAGCTATATAAACTTCATCAGACTCCATAGCATGTCTGAGTTTTGGTTTTCTCATCTGAAACATAACAGCATGTATCTCATACTCAAAGTCTTTGGATTGAAAGAAACAATGGACAGTATATTAAAGCCTTTTATAGGCAAGGCCATGATTATTAGTAGAGTTATTGAAAGAATATTGACAATAAATGCCCAAGTGAGGAGTAAAAAGTGGACAATCAACATGCCAGTCACAGTGACCCCCGAAGCACCATATTATTTGCCTGACACTATAAGGGCAAAAGAGCGTCAATAGTTTCTGCTCTCCTCTTTAGGTTTTGAGATCCTTTTTGATGGCTCCCCTGATTCTCTTGCGACCCTTCCCCACAAGAGGCAGAGAGCTGGGTTACTGTCGAGGACTCTAGAAAGGCCCCTATGGTCTCTTTGCCACGCTGCACCGAGGCTGATCAGCTCCTTGGAGTGCCTTATCTGTGAGAGAGTGTGTGGACTTCAAGGTGCTGGTTCCTGCTCATCTTCACAGCACAACCACCTAGTCCTGTGTATGGCACAAAGTCAGTTTTCAACAAATGCTTATCGATAGACTGCAAGCCCTTGACAGCTATTTAGGCATGTGACACAATTAAGGGTACATTTAGATATTAATGATATGGGAAAAGCTCCTGCCCTGGGGCCCTGAGGTAAAATCCATTGCTGATTGGATGCATGTGAAGGTTACGGCTGATCCTACTAATCCCACCGTTAATTGGATATTGGTTGTGTGTAACCCCAAGAAGTGTATAAAACTGGAGAGAAATAAGGAAGTGGTGCTCAGAATTTGGCCCCTCTGAGCCCGCCGGGGAAATAAAAGCTGATTCTCCAACCCTCTGTGTGCCACTCGATTCTTTCCCTGGTCAATCGCCGGTCACTTGCTGCTACATTAACACTAGTCATTATAATAAAAACAACAGCAACAAGAGTAACAATAGCTACTGCTTATGGAGACCAAGGCAGTCAGCTGACAGACAGTCATTACTTGCCTACAAACCACATTTGGACATTTGACTTTCTTGATTGTCTTTTCCAGGCTGAATTTGGACCTGTGGACCAAATTCATGTTCTCAGCCTGGTAGAGTTGCCTCTCAGCTGATAGTTCAGTTCTGGGAGCATCTTCCATTTTATTGAAGTGATTTATTCAATAATATCAATTTTAGTGTACGATTGAACTTATTTTAGAAAATACATGGGATGGAAAAATTAAAGTTATAAGAGAGCTGATTTTAATAAGTAATTTGGTCTCATAAATGTAATTCAATTTAGAAAAAGTTGGAAAGCATCAGGCTTCCAAAAACTGGGAAAATTTACCCTTAATTGGACATTTATTGATCTTAAACCAGTCTACTGTGGTTTAATTGTCAGAGCAAAGAACAAAATTATAGAACATGTGCAATATTCTAGAATTCTATGGTCAAAGATTATGTTTAAAGTGCAATGAAATTAGGAATTTTATCTTTTTTATAACACACTGAACATGGATTCCCACTGATAAAATATGTATTAATAAAAATGCTGTTCAATTTTCACAAACTTGAAAATTTTCTGCAATGTATAAATATACAAAAATTGGGAACTTGACATATTTTGCTTAATTCTTCAAACAACTCTTTAAAGTAGGCATAGTCCTCACTGTTACAGAGAAATCATATGCTTACTAAGTGGCAAAGCTACATATATTGGTTTTCAGGGATTGCTATAACAAAGTACCAGAGACTGAGTGGCTTAACCAATATAATTTATTTTCTCACAATTCTGGAGGCTAGATGTTCAAGATCAAGGTGCCAGTCTGGTTGCTTCTAAGCCTCTCCCTTTGCAGTTGGCTACCTTCTCCCTGTGTCCTCGTGTGGTCTTTCCTCTGTATACCTACATACCTGTCATAATCTCCACATTCAATAAGGACACCAGTCATATTGAATTAGGGCCCACCCATGTGACCTAATTTTAACTTAATCACCTCTTTAAAGGGCCGGCCTGTCTCCAAGTACAGTTGCATTCTGAGTGACTGGGGGTTAAGGCTTCAACATATACAATTTGGGGGAATGCTATGACAAGATCCAAAGTTTGTGACTCTAAACTCATTTTTATTAAGAAGGGAAGCATGCATCTTGGGGAATGAGGACAGAGTGAAGATGGCAAAGAAGAAACTCATAATTGGGGGATTGACGTTGGAAAGGGTAGCTCAGCACTAGAAACAGACATTACCCCTAAAAGGTGAAAATTTTCTTTCTTTAAAGCAATGTTTTTGCTTTTCCATTGTTGGTAGAGAAACAAAACAAAACAAAATAAGAAAATCTTGTGGCTTTAAGTAATTTGACCCCAGAATAAAGGTTGTAGAAGTAGGACAGGCACACATTGCTGCTCTGAGTAATCACACAATGGCTGCTCCACTGCAAATGGCTAAGGTGTTCTGAGAGCTTTAATCAACCTAATCAGGTCATCCCTGGGACTTAAGGGGGGTCTAGTTACAAATCTTCAAAAGCTCTGAACTACTTTCTGCATCTACAGGCTAAAAGGATTATTAAATTAGTTGCACAGAGAGATGGAATTAATACTACTTGATTGAGCTAAGATCATCATATTCTAAAAAGCAATTAAAATTGTTCTGACCTTTGAAAAGTAAATCTTGAAATTTTTATGTTACATTTGAATCTGGGAAAAGGCAAATAGTGAATTTAATAAGTATGAATGAGTTATGTAGCTGAAGAATTTTTAGAGGGTTTTAATATATGACTTTCTTTAAAAAGTAATTTGGTGATCATAAAATCCAGATTTTTACATTCTCTTTTATGTCAAAGAAGGCCAGTGCTTCTTATGTGTGCAGTATATCACAATGCATATTTTTGTACATATACCTACCAAGTAATACATATTCATATATGTATTAGCCAAAATTCCAGTAATAGCTCCATTTTTTCCAAGTGGTTAGAAGTCATTTGCCTTGTATCTTTAATTGACTGCCCAGTAAAATGTGAAAGTAAGCAGACTAACTTCTGAGAGGCAAAAATATGCATTGAGAAATGTTTGAATGTTTGCATGTTGAAATGTTTGAATGTTTAAATTCTAATACTCAAGTATTAGGATTTAACTTACAGGAGAATCTCTTTGTTGTCAGTAAGAGCCAACAAATTAATTTCTAAGTAGCTTAACAAGCTTGAGTTTGAACGTGAAAATTAGAAAAGGGCTTGACCAAAGTGGGTACAAAGAAATCAGTGAAGGGAAATAGAGAGAAATGACAGCAGACACAAAATGTACTGGAGGAAAAGCCAATTTTATAAGGTTGGACAGGAATTGAAGGCATTGTTATGCAGTGACTTAGGCTATATCAGTGATCCAGTCATAAAGAGAGAGTTAAATAGCATCTATAGTTTCTATTTAAGAAGGCAGAATAGTGTGAAATGCACATGATGTCTCTGGAAAACTAAATTCTGTGAACTATATTATTCATTTGCTTATTAATTAATTCCTAAATGATATAACAGACACCTACTGTTTATTATCCAATGATATTTATCAAGTGCTTTCTCTGTATGGCACTGTCCCAGACCCTAGGGATACAGTGATGAACATGATAGATATAAATATCTATCCTTGTGCCACTTACATTTTAGTTGGAGGAAACAGACAATAAAAAGGTAAGTAAATGCTTTTGTCCATTTTGTGTCCTTATAATAGAATACCACATACTGGGTAACTTATAATGAAAATAAATTTATTTGGCTCATGGTTCTGGGGACTGGGAAGTCCAAGATTGAGGGGCTGCATCTGGTGAGGATCTTTTTGCTGTGTTACCTCATGGAGGAAGGGCAAAGAGAGCAAGAGATCAAACCCACAGCCTCAAGCCCTATCATAATTAGTATTAATCTATTTATAAGGGTGGAGCTCTTGTGGGCTAAATACCTCCCACTTCTCAGTACTGTTGCATTGGGATTAATTTTCCAACACATGCTTTATGAAGGATACATTCAAACCATAGCAGTAACTCATAGAATGTCTATATAGAATAGAGATGGTGTTAAGTGCTGTGTAGGAAAGTAAGGCAGGGGGTAACATACCCAAATGAGGAATATATTGCCTCCAAAAGTTCTCTTGAAGATATGTAGGAGGGCTTGGCAGTTAGAGCAGCAGAATAGAAAACAGAAATGGGCATCATGATACTAATTTTGTTACCAAATACTTTGGGTTAATAAGATGTTTCTTCTTTATCATATTTTCCCCATTGTGAAAAAAAAGCATTTATGGAATTTAATTTTTTACAGTTAAATTGTAAAATGATCATTTTACTATATAAAAATTATGGCAATCAATTCATTCAAGATGTGCATTAGGCAGCTATGATATGCATAGTACCTGCCGTATTTGGTGATGAATGTCTTGTGTATGTTAATGAGATGACTGGTGGCTGAGAATGGTTAAATAGCTTTGCAATGGGGGCTGGTTGCTAGGAAGACCAAGGCAGCATTAGAGAGTTGGAACTTTCAGGCCCTAACATTGACATTTGGGGAAGGGAAAGGAGCCAGATAGAGATTGAGTTAATCATCAGTGAACAGTGATTATGTAATGAGACCACTAAAAGAAACCCCTAAACTATGAGATTCAGAAGTTTCAGGGATGATGAACATACTGAGGTGCAGAGAGGGCATGAAAACTCCACACACCCTTCCCCATATCTTGCCCCATGCATGTCTTCCATTCATCTGCTCCTGTGCTGTATCCTTAATGATACATCAGTGACAGTGAGTGAAGTGCCTTCCTGAGTTCTGTAATCCATTCTAGCAAATTATTGAACCTGGGGAGGGAGTTGTGGGAACTCACAATTTATACCCACTTAGTCAAAAGGATGGGAGGGCCAGGACTTGTGATTGGTGTCTAAAGTGGGGGCAGCCTTGTGGCACTGAGCCCTTTAACATGTGGAATCTAACACTAACTCCAGGTAGATAGTGCCAGAATTGACCTGAAAGATTGGACACTCAACTGGTTGGAAAATTGTTTGGAGTGGGAAAAACCTCACACATATTTGGTATCGGGAGTGTTGTTACTAAAAATGGTTCACACTCCCTTTGGAGAAAATACCTCTATGCTAACAGAGCATACCGTTGCATGAAAAAATTTTGCTAGTGGGTCATTAATGCTAATAGAAAGTGGTGCCGCTCCCATATCCACCCCTTTATTCCTGGGCCCATGAGTTTTAGGTATGGTGTTCAATATATGGGCTGTGGGAGCACCATGTTGTTGACATTGATTCATAGCATATACAGCCTCTTGGCGAACCTTGTTCCAGCCCTGCAAGGTATTACCACCCAGCTTGTGCTGTAAATATTCAAAGGCCATTCCACTGTTATGTGAAGCCAGCTGCTTCAGGATGGGGGGAAACATGGTAAGACATGTGAATTCCATAAACATGGGCCTATTGCCACACTTCTTTTGCCATGGAATAAGTTCCTTGATCAGAGCCAATGCTGCGTGCAATACCATGATGGTGGATACGTCATCCTCTCAGTCCTCAGATGGTAGTTTTGGCAGAAGCATCGCATGTAGGGAAGGCAAATCCGCATCTCTTCCAGTAAGAACAAAATGCTGTCTCTTCCATCATGGAAGTGGTCCAATGTAATCAGTCTATTACCAGGTAGCTGGCCGATCACCACGGGGAATGGTGCCATATCGGTGGCTCAGTTGGTCTCTGATGCTGGCAGATTGGGCACTCAGCAGTGGTTATAGTCAGGTGAGTGGAAGTCCATGTTGCTAAGCCCATATGTAACTTCTATCCCTGCCACCATGGCCATTTTTTTTTTTTTTTTTTTTTTGTGAGCCCATTGAGTGGTGACAGGGGTGGCTGGGAAAAGAGGCTGACTTATCCACAGAGCAGGTAATTCTATCCACTCAAAAAATCCTCCTCTGCTGAGGTGACCGTTTGGTGAGCATTCACATGGGACATAAACATTCCCACGTGTTTTGCACATTC